CAGGGTGGGGGCGCTGGTGGGGCCGCCCGGGACAGCCCGCGGTGGGTCGGCCCCTTGCCCCACTCTGGCCCAGCCCCGGGTAGCGGGAGTCCCGGAGGCTGCGCGGGGCCCGTGCGGGCCACCTTGCTGCTGTGGCTCTGCTCTGTCACCGGCGCCGATGGGCTGTGTGGCCAGCGGCCCTCGGTGCCCTCTCTGCCCCATCAGTGACCCGAGACTTCCTCTGGACTTCGGGCTTCGGTGTCTGTCTCCACCCTCACAGGCCCCTCGCAGCCTGCGGGGGTGGGGCGCGCACCTCGGCCTGGGCCCTGGAGTGTCCACTGGCCTCAGCCATCGAAGCAGCTGCCTGTCGGGGCCCTGGGTGTTACAGCGCCCCACAGCCGCCCGCGCTTAGCGCCGGGGTGCCCTAGTCAGCCCGCAGGCCCAGGCCCAGGTGTGCGCCTCGAGGCCAGCCTGCGGCCTGGCCCCTGACCGCTCTGGCTCTGGGTGCAGGGGGTGTGGCCAGCTCCTGGTGCCCGAAGGACAGCGAGCGCCAATCGGGGTCCAGAGTGGTCTGCAGTGCGGGGAACACTTTCTAGGGTAGGACGGAGGGGCCAGGCCCCCGGGGAGGCGCAGAGACCAAGGGGCCTGACCTGGTTCCTCGGGGGCAGGCCTGGCGGGGCCGCGGCCCTGAGGGCAGAGCCAGACAGCCCGTCGGCTCCCGCTCTGGGGCCCCTGCTCGGGGGGGGGGGTTCCCCACGGTGGCTGGGTGCCCGGGGCCGGAGCGGGGGAGGTGGTTCCTGTAGGCCCCTGGGATGGGGTGCAAAGCCAGCCCGCCGGGGCTCGGGTCCATGTGGCCAGGCCCCCCACGCCACCGCGGGCACTGAGCCGGCCTGGGCAGGTGCCTCGGCTCCCGTGGCAGCCGCGTGTGCCCCTGTGCCCGCCACGGTCTCGCCCGAGCGATGGGCCCAGGCCCTGGCCATCCCCTCCTGCCGTGACCCGGTGACTCCTGAGCCCGCCAGCTCCCCAAGGCTCCGCCCCTTCCTCCCAGGCCGGCCCCCTTGTGGGGAGGGGTGTCCCTCACGCCCGTGGGGAGACCTCTGGGCGCCGTGCCCCACCGCCCCGGCCTGTGCGGGCCCTATGCGGG